ATGTATGTGTGTGTATACGTGTATCTTTAAAAAAATCTCCCAAATTTTTAATTTCTTTTAACTGACAATTTCTATCCATGAAGAAATTCTTTTCCATGGAGTTAATTAGTTTCAAATCAGAGTTGTGCTTCATGTGAGACTATTGTATAGGAAATTTGACGAGGTTCACAATAAATGGTGTTTAAAATCTAGCAGAAAATTGCTAATTGCTAATACTCTCAGCATGGTTCCTATTAAAGAGAAATTATCACCCGTCTTATTCTTGACCACAATGGCTGTAGGATTCCCTTTAGCTTGACTATTAAACTTTAGGCAGCTTCTTCCTGACTGGAGATCCCTGACCTCTTGTTTCTTATAGCATTTACTTTGGAAAACATGTAATTGTAAAGTCATTGGTGGTAGAGCCACTTTGAGGTATAAATCTTGTAAGAGCCTCTGGTCAGTTTTACAACCCTGGAATGTTTTTCTCAAGGACCTGGGTGCCATCCTTTTGAAATGTAGTCATAAAGGAATAGCACCCCTCTCCCCCAGTCTCTGTGGAGGGCAGGAGCCTAACCTCGTGGATACTTTCCTTCAGGCTATAAAACTACCTCCTGTCCTGAAGATATCAGAAAGTTTGCTCTTCCCTTCTGCAAAGCCAATTAGCAAACCCAACATAGAAGGAACACTCAAGAAATATAAAATGTATTGTTATAAGCATATCATGTAGCTTATTTCCACTATCCCAATGCTTGATGATTAATATATGATTTTTTAAATGTATTTTGATGTCAAGATAGACATCATGTGTTGGAGTTCAGAAAACAATACCCTAAAATCTGCTGCTTTGAACTTCAAACTGAGAATACCCGGGGAGTAGCAACTGCAGGGAATGGCTTTCTCTGATGCTCCCTGATCTAAGGGAAGTTCCTCCAGAAGGAATGCAACATCAACCAGGGAAGAGTAACTCACAGGAAAAGTTTCTTAAGGTCTGACCACTCACTTGGAGAAACTTGTACCACAGGCTGCCTTCTATTCTCCTGCAGCCTTTATCTACATAGGACAGCCTTTGTTCACAGTGTGTTTCCTCCCCTCACCCTCCCATAGCTTGTTGCCACCACCCTCTGGAAGCCCCAGCCCCTATTTCTTTGTATGGTACAAAAACTTCAGTCATCTGGTCTTTCTTTGAGTCTCATATTTTGGGGGACTCTTGTACATATGACATAATAAATCCTGTTAACTGGTCTATCGTCAGTTCATTTCATAGACTCAAATTAACAGGACTTTTAGAGGACAGAGGTAAAGTTCCCATCGTCCCTTCAATGCATAATTTATAAAAAAGGGAAATAAGGCATGAATAATTTTAAATCACTTTTAAGCTAAATAGTAATTCAGAAAAGCTCTATCATTAAAGTATTGGAATTCAATATTAGTTTTCTGTATTGAAATAAAACGAAGTAGGAAGCTTAAAAATGGACATTCTTATCACTTTACACTAGGAAGCGTTTCCTCCACTATGAAGAAACAGTTTTTTTAAGGTGGTTGCCTGTTTTACCTGAAGTGGTTTTATCTGCTGAATTTATGTGCATAATGCATTGCTTAGATCCCCACACTCAATTATTAAAACATTTTCATATGAATAAAAAGTTAAATTGCTGCCATGTGTTTTTTTATTTTTAGATGTTGCTTCCCTTTGTAATTCAAGAACTCTTTTTTTTTTGTAAATAAATTCTTCAACCTTAAAAGAATGCATTTTACCTTGTGCCGAGTAAGAGCCACTTGATGGTCTATTAGGCTTATCTCAGAAGTGGTTTGTAATTCACTGAGAAACAGCTTAATCCAGACAGAAAAGGAAAGCAGCAGCTCGTCAAATTGCTGGTGTTCAGCAACCGCAGACTGAAGAAAATTAATCCTGTAGAGAAAGGTATTTCGGTTAAAATGTCCCATCAGTGAACAGAAAGGGGAATTAAGCTTACATGACGGTAAAAGTGATGTTGTTATATGAATGTATGGACAAGCCAGATCCTCTTGATGTTTTCTGCTTCCCAAGTCCTGTTTTTTCTCAAAATGTTCTGTCTCAGTTAACATTGCCACCATCCACCCTGATGGTCCTATGAGTCATTCTTCACCCTGCCATGCCTTTACCGGCACCTCTGACCTATGCATGCCCCGTCAGAACCCCACCACACCAGACGTTCATTCTCGCTCTTCTATCCATTTTCACTACCCGGCCCTGCTCTAAATCTCTTCATCTCTTGCCTGACCTCCAACCTCCTAACTGGCTACCTTCCTTCCTCCTCTGCCTCTGTGCAATATCCTCTCTAGGTAACAGCCAGAAAGGATTTCCTATGAGTAGGGCATTCCCTGCTGTGCTCAAACACTGGGGTACTTTCCTGTCGCACTCAGGAAGGCAAAACCCCAAAACATCTGACTGTGGTCCACAAGGAGCCCCACACAAGCTACTTCTCTAGCCTCATCTGATATTCCTCTGCCCCACACTCCCACTGACCTGTTCCTGATATCCCAGCTCATTACTGCCTTAGAGCCTGGGCCATTTTTGCTCCCTCTGCCCATGTGCTCTGCCCCTAGGCCCTGGGTCTGCTTCCTGCACAGCACTCAGATCTTAATCAGATGTCATCTCCCCACAGAGGCTTTGCTTGGCCACCCAGTCTAAAGGTGCACCATCCCGCAGTCCCCACCATGTTACCCTATTTTGTTGTCTTCATAATACTTGACACCACCTGAAACAGTCTTATTCATTCACTTGTTTAATTATATATCTATCTTCCCAAGTCCCTTCCTCCCCTCACCACACCAAGAGAGTAAGGACTGTGCCTACCTTGCTTACTAGTATATACCCAGCACCTAAAAATGTGCCTGGGATATGGTCAGGGATCAATTGCTGTTTTTGTAATAAATGAATTAGTTTTTTAATAATCTGTGATCAGAGATCAGAATTTGAAACCTGTATTAAAAATAATTTCTTAATCAAATACTAATATTCATTACGATGGTTTATATCCAAAGTTCAACTTTTAAATCAGCTTTCACGTTTTAATCCTTACATAATCTTCTACAAATTATCTTCCATACATAATTTATATTTTGAATGCCTTCACACATTTGCATCACCTTAAAAGTCCTTTACTTTCCCTCTGAGGGATAGACAGAAGGCAGATACTGCTCTGTTTTACAGAATGTTGCTCACCGTTCAAGAATTGGCATCAAATCCTTCTGTAAATGTTTCCTAAACTCATTCGAATGTCCCTTTTCTTCCTGTTCCTATAATACTCTGTGCTCACCTCTCTCACTGGTTTCCTTGTTATCCCCACACTAATCTGTAAATTATTGGAGGTCAGGTTTTCTTTATTTTTATGGCTCCAATATCTGATATGGTGGCTGGCACTCAGCAGGCACCCAGTACACATTTGTTGATTGAATAAATGAACAAATAAACCACGGAAGCAGAGACTGAAACTCTGTTTGCTGTTGCTATCCTCAGCACATAGTACAGTGCTCCACCCATTGTAGAAACTCAATAAATATTTGCTGAATGAATGAATCTATGGCCAAATTAAATTTTTTTAATAAAAATAAATAAAATAAAAAATGGCCAGACAGGTTAAACGCTCATCTAAGATCATACGGATAATCAATACTAACATAAAGAGAAAATTTGTTTTCTGGTATATTAGAAAGGTACAGATGCCAATTGTTAATCATCTAGTTAATTAAGATTTAATCCATTTTTACCTCCATTTGCTGCAACAGTAATGTCCCTTGCTCTCTCCAAAGATCTATATTAAAATGAAATGGAATAGCTTATGTATAGAAAATGCCTCTGGTGGAGAAATAGCACATTAGGTGAAATTTTAGTTACTGTTTTTCTTCTGTACACAAACAGCTGAGGCAATAAATACCAACATTAGCAATGCTACTCTCTTTAATCTGTTTCAATCATTTGCCCTGATTTTACAACTAAAACTGTGAATTGAGGCTCAACAGAAAGGCTTATTTTTGAGGACATTGATTAATAAAAATGACAGATGAAGTAGTTTCTTCCCTTCTGTAATTACCCCTGAATAGCTGAGCTGAATAAAAGTAAACAAAATTATGCTTTCTTAATTTATATGCTCACTGTTTAAATACAAATGAACAATATTAGAAGTTTTTTTTTTTTTTTTTTGAGAACCAACCTTTTGCTAATTATCTGTGGTAAATCTCTCCATCTCTCGTCCAACTGCTCCAACTGTAGTTTCATCATTTTCACATCATCTTTGGAGGCTACTGAGAACAGTGACTCCTTCAGTTGCAAAAGGTTGCTATAGGATGAAGCCTGGGACACAACTTCCTTTTGCAGTGCCTGAGAATAACAACACATTACAGAACAGGACATGTGACACGCAGGTGGTTGCTCCTCCCAAGGATTTGCAATTTCTTGCAAAGTGGAGGTCACTGAGTCCAGGCTGAAGAGAGTTTTTATTACTTGATTTGGAAATGGATCCACTTAACCTTTAATGCAGTTTTTAAAATGCTGCTGAAACCTGGATAAGTTTTCTGGAGTCTGATTTATATTAAGTTAGGCAAATTTAGAAGCTGTAGAATTTCTTTCATGATGAAGAAGCTGCTTAGGCAAAGAAAATCAAAGAAAAGCTATTGCCAAAGAGAACTGACGCATAGCTAACAATAACAGAGACATGATTCTAGGTACCTTGAACATGGTCTCCGTCTCTGTTTAGAGTCTATATTTGGGAACTTAAGGGCTCTTCATTACACTTTCAAACAACCAAACTACTTATTTTTTAAAAAATTAATCAAGCAATGAATCTCTTAGGTGCAATGAATCTTATTAGGTAAGATTCCTACCTAATAAGAGATAAGATATAAACACTCATAGAGACAGGCAACAACAAAAATCGGTGTTGAGATGATAGTTCAAGCTTGGTAGATAGCAGATGTTTGTCAAGATGCTTTCTTTCTCTTTCTAGTGAAGCCACATGTGATAGAAGCAAAATTGCTAAAGGGATCAGAGGAAGGAGTTCACAGCCTATAGACCACAGGTGGGACCACAAAGCAGAACTGGGACTTATGCTGGGAAGGACAAGGAAAGAAGCAGCACAGGCAGCAAGGCCAGGAGGTGGGAAAGTACAAGTCAGGTCCGGCCCACAGCAGCGAGGCAGCCTGGCTGACACGGTGTCTGAAGGCCCGAGTAACAGAGGCCTGCGGTCCTCTCTCGGTCCTCGAACTCATACAACACTTAGTTTCCGTAGAGGGACATGTAGCAATACAGTTTTATATGCCTAGATGTCTTTGTATCTGTGCCTTATCCTTTGCAAGGCAAGGAACTGTGACTCCCCTCCTTGGAACATGTCACATGTATTTGGAAGAAGGTAAGAACCCCATTGTGGACCCAGGATTGCCTTTTATCTTCAGGGCAGGATACAGGCACTGTAGGTTTTGAGAAGGGACTTTTGGGAAGATAAATGCAGACACTGTTGTTTAATAAAGCAGAAAGGCAGGAGAACCAGGAGTATGGAGCAGCCTCAAAGTCAAGAAAGAAGAAAATTTGAAAATGAGGCAAGAGGTTCAGATGCTACAGACACCTCTGACAGAGTTTTTAGAGAAGCAATTATAAAAAGTGAAAGAACCTAGCTTCCTCTTAAATTTATTATAAAAGGTGGTGGGAGAAAGTTGGAATACAAATCTGTAATACAATAAATATCCTTCGAGAAGCAATTCTGATGAATTTTCCGGCACAAACAGTATCACTTAAAACAAGCACGTTATTAATCTCTGGAAATCAGCAACATTGAACTGTAGCTTCAATTAGACTTAAAGAATGTTTTTTAGTTTAAAAATTTAACTTCTTTGAGGGTGTAATAAGCTATCATTTTGTCTTTCTGCCTATCATTTGCATTTGTGCTCATTCATTTTTTCTTTCTTGCTTGAAAATAATCATTACTGTGACTTCTTTCTACATTTTATTACTTCTCTCTTAAAAAAAACACCTTTTATTACCAAAATTTTGTATACATGCAGAAGTAGAGAGATTATACCTCTTACCTGCCTCAGAAATCATTAATCGATGGTCAACCTAGTTTCGTCTATTTCTGCCCATCCTTCCCTCAACTCCCTTGCCAGATCATTTTTATCCAAATGTTAGACATTATATTACAGGATTTTCTAACACATCACAGGAACTGATCATCACAAAATGCACATCATTACTTTGTCTTTCAGGTCAGGTTTACTTTCTTCTTTTCAGGATACTTTGACATCAAATGGTGCTTCAGGGATCACAAACCCAAGTAAGAAGTTAAGTGGGATAGAGGTTTGTTTATTTTATTATTTTATCATTTTTTAAATAATGCAACCATAACAAAGAGCATCTTATTTTCCCTCCTCACACTTCCTTGAACTTGCCTGTATTAATTGAAGTTCACCTTCCACTTTGACTCTGTCTGCAGAAATGTCCATTTCTGGGGAGCTGGCTACAGCTTCACACCGCTCTAACCGGGTCAAAAAGGATGATAGTTCTTTCTCTAGCCTAAAGGAAGCAGAGAAAAGAAACAATTTCATTTAAAATTGTCATGCGAGAAGACCAAACCTTTCTGAAGTGGAGTGTTCAACATGAACCATTATAAATAATAAAATGTTGATTATTTTAGACTTAGATGTAAAGGTAGAAAAATCACTCCTTTCATTTCTGTGTGTGCTTGCATACATTTGCCTTGGGTAATTTGTCAGATACAAAGACATCGTCTCCATTCTTAGGGGTCCTCATCTTATAATGAAGATCAAGATCTTCCTATAGGAGACACGAGTTCATGCATTTTACACGTGGGATGATTATTCCCTGTCATTTAAAGAACAGTTAGCCCAGAATTTCCTATTTAATAATGATGGTAAGTCAAGCAAAATGTCGCTCACCTCTGCCAGTGGGCCAGCAGATTCTCCAGCGCAGTCTGTCTCTCCTTTGCCCTGTTTACTGTCCCCTTGTATCGCCGCTGCAGAGCTGCAGCCTCCTGAACACAGGCCTCTCTGTTCTCCACCTTCCGGGCACTGGCTGAGAAGGCCGTGACTGTATTGCTCAGCGACTCCAGGGCCTGGCAGAGGTCCTAAGGAGGGTGCGGAAGGAACACAACTAGAGCACAGGATCCAATGAGACCTATGTCTTTCTTTGAGATGCATCAGGGCAAAATATTTTCCCTTAGTCATAATAAACAGCAATGGTACCAAAAAATGGGTACAAATATACAGTTTGATAGAAGGAAAAAGACATAGTGTGTGATAGATCAGTGGGGTGACTATAGTCTACAGTAATCTATTGTATATTTCAAAATAGCTAGAAGAGAATAATCTGAATGCCTCTCGCATAAAGAAAAGACAAATATTTAAAGTGATGGATATCCCAGTTACACTGATTTGATTTTAACAAGCTATGTGAATTTATTAAATTATCACACATAGCCCTTCAAAAAAATAACTAAAAACTGAATCCAAAAGAATCCCTGTTTATGATTTACAGCAAGACAGTGAAAATGAGAAGTTACTTCATGAACACAGAAATAAAAAATGAGAATGGAGAGGCTTTCCTCAAATAAGAATGTGCTGCTGTATACCTGAAGAACTTCAACTTTCCCTTAACAATTCAGATAATTTGTGAAAATTATTATTCATTTGATGCTAAATATGTGAGCATTTTAAAACCCTATTCTTGATTTACAAAAACTACATGTAACATACTATAGTCTCTACAAAAACTATATAAAAAGAGTTATGGCTGAAATGGCTGCTGTTAGGAATCAATAATAATAATAAGAAGAAGAAGAATGTGGCAGGTCCCGTGTTATGTGCATTACATGTATTAACTCATTTAATCTTCATAAGAACCCTGAGAGTTATGTATGCTCTTTCATTATCTCCATTTTACAAATTAGAAAAGCAACACAGAAAAATAGTTTGCTCTAGGAAATCTAAATATGAGAAACATAGACTATTATCCTCTCTGGTACTCCATTATTAACTTAGTTGTCTATTAAAATAATTTCATCACATGAACTTTTTCTACTTTTCCTCATGGTTTTGTATTAAAAAATTACACAAGTAACACAAAAATGCATTCTCATCATGAATCTTCAAGCAATATAAATCTCATTCCCCTTCCCAGATGTGCCTTTGTCAACTGCTTGCTTTCCATGGCGGCTGCCCCCTTTCTCTACATTTATGTACATATGTGCACACGCACGTGTAGCAGGAATAATAGTTGTAGTATTGTTTATTAATTAACATATTTCTTTTTAGTATTTCTTTGTGTGCAGCTCTTCCTGTTCGCTCCTTCTCCCAAATTCTGCAGGAGGCTTGCAGAAGATTCGCAATGATCAGTTCAGAGAACAGACCAAAAAGCCAGTTGTTAAAAATAGGTTAGTGAGGGCATATTTTTTGCATATTTGAGTGTAGTGGGTTAAAATCTGAAATCTGCTGTGCACATCTATTTTTTCCTTGCACATTTAATTTTTTATAATGCTGGCAAGTGGTAACAGGGTTTATTAAAGCTATAATCTAAAAATGTTACATGTTCTAATTAAAAGAGAGAAATATATTTTAAATGAATACTTCTTTAATATACATTTTAATGAAAACTTAATTGCATACCAAATTTCTTGCAGTATATAAAGTGAATATGTTTGATCTATATAATTCCTCAACATAAAAATTTTTCCACTTTTAATTCTCATAAAAATACTCTGTTTTCTTCTCAAGTAGAAATTATTAAATTTCTGAGTTGATAAATAGTAGAAATGTTGAAGCACACTCTTACCATATGTTCTTGGAGAATTTTGTATGTTTCTGTAGCTGAAGAACATATTTTAACTGGATCAGCAAGTTTATCTTCAAATTCAGACACAGACTGCTGGATCTAAGACATTGGTGCAATATACAAATAATGGTGGGAAAAAATATACATCAGGGCAAAGAAGGTTATTGAAAAAGCAGCATAGCTACCTTTTATGGATAACTTGTAATGTAATGATAAAACGCATTTTTAAAAAAATATCAAGCCCTGTATCCCATTATTTGAAAGGGAAATGTTTGTTTTAATGACTATCCAAACACAATGTATAACATTCTTATGTTCCGCCCACAAAATACCTTGTAAATAATTATAAATTTGCTCATCATTGACAACTTGGTAGATGATTGGCAAATTGTCTTTTCCTTACTCCTCTATTTGTGGAATATTTATTGCATTTCCCTATAAATGCAATGTGAAATACATAAATATACAAGGGCCAATTCTTACCTTTCTAAGATTCTCTTCAAACTTTTGCTGCTGTGACAAATGCCCTAGGATTGTCCCTTCCAGACTCTGTGCGTGCTCTCGGAGTTCTTCCCAGTATCTTCTTATTTGTGTCAACTTGGCTTTGATTCGAGCGGATTCTCCAGTGGTAATAAACTGAGCAAAAGACTGAGCTTCTTCCTCCAATTCTGTAATGCTGCTGATCTTACTTTCTATTTCCTGAATTGTGACCTAATATTTAAAAGAAGAAAAATGACAATGCAGGTTGAACAAGCTTTCTGAAATGATGTAACTATCTACATATAGAGAAAATCATGAAAATTTCCTTAATTAACATTTCAACATACTTGGATGGTTAGGACACAACTACGAGCAAATGCCATGTGCTCGGGGAGGATAGAGACGGCCAAAGATGTCTCCAAAATACAACCTGATGGAGGTTGTGCTCACTGGATGGAGAATAAAGAGGAAGAGCTACTCCTGCTTGCAGTGAAGTAAGCAAGGAGATGTCCCTGGATCTCTTATAATATCGCTGAAGGCACAGATAATTCTCTGCTTACCCTATGAATCAAGCATTTTAATCAGCTGATCTAGGAAAGCATTGTTTTTTAGTAACTTATCAGAATGCTAATATTGACATTCATTTATTTTTCTGAAATAGAGTTTTTTTATGGTTTACTAAACGAAAAGCTTTTCTGATTGCACTCCTACCTAAAACCAGGTTTTTTTTTTCTTTCAGTTTTATCGTCTATTCTTTATACCTGTAATTCAAAATAGAATCCATTAGGATCATCTGGCCCCCATTCCCTGGGATTCAGACTTACAAAGTAAGTCTAAGGTGGGGCTCAAGAATTTTCATTTCTAATAAATTCCCAGGTGATGCTGATACTGCTATTCCAGGGACTCCACAGCTATATTCATTAACTATGTATTAATACTTTACAGTAAAAAGCCTATATACTATATAATTTTAATTTGGAGCAAAAAGGGCATTTTATATCTTAGCCAACACTTGAAAAATACTGGTAACTACTAAGGATGTGTGTGCATATATGTGTGTGTAGGGGTATATCTCTTATAAAACATATATGTAAGAAATGAAAATTGTTTCTCTGAGAAAAAGGGCCAAATCATTCAATCGAAATAATGCCAAAAATTCAGACAAGTCTCAGTTTCAAGTAATTTAAATGAAAAATAGAGTTATCCTAGAAAAAAATAAATTTATGACTTCTATCTAGATGAGACAACATAGTCAGAAACAACTTCTGTCTAGTTGGGACAACCAAAAATAACTTATATCAGATTAAATGCCAGGTATGCATAAGTTATTTATTTTTATTTTTCATATGCATGACTGTAGTGGTATATCTGATAGATAGCTGTTGTCTGAGCATTAAGACAGCCTTTCTTCATTTTGGTGTTTTTTAAGACTATATATTTTTAGAAAAATTACTCAACTCAACAAATATATATTGAGTGTCTACAATGCTCTCATAATTGTTCTAAGTGCCTGCAACATATCAGTGAAACAATCTTAGTTAAGAACATAGTTCTTAGTTCTTAGAGTCATACCTGCCATCAAAAAATTGATATATACAAACCATATAATTGTATAGTTGAATTGTAAAAAAGAAAAACTATGCAAGAGAAGAAGATGGAAGATGAATTCCACATTTATTCTTATTATTTATCATTATCAATTAGGAATAAGAAATCAGTCATTTAGAATAGCATGTAATGAGGATCAAAAATGGGATTGGAATATTTATCTTCCAACAATGCAAATGCTTCATTAATTTTAATCCTAAAGTTGTTGTAAAGTGAAAACACTATGACAAGTGTTACAATATTTTTAATATTTCCTATAATGTAGTCTTTTGCTTGGAAATAGAATATGAACATATTAGACCAATTTACATAGGACACTGTATTACATTCTTTTTTTATTTCTAGTATCTCTTTCCTAGTATTCTTATGCATTTAATATATTTTAGATAATTTTCAAAATGCCATATTGGACATACTGAAATGTATTTCTAGTCTGATGGCATGGAAATGCACAAATGAATATATATTTAAGATAAAATATGTAATTATCTTTTTTCTGAGAAATAATAGTGAGATGATATTTGATCATTGAGATATATTGGAAGTCTTGGAATAAAAGTTAAAATAATAGTAAATGAATCACAGAAAGGATAAATAAGCTAAAGTGTATGTTAATTTTTGAAAGGGGTTTTTTGAGACAAAATTATTTAAATGTGCTGTTCCTTTTTTACTTAGAATTTAGCAAAAATGATAAAATGACAACTTTCAAAAACAGTTTTAAAGATTAATAATATTTCACGAGTACCGTTTAATGGCTCGTCATCTATTTCTCCCAGGACAGCACAGAAGACACGGCAGACTGTGTGTGCCACACTCCATGTATCCCTGACTGCAAAAGATGTGTGACAAGCAAGGACGATCTGTGCAGCGGGTAATCTTAGCTGAGCAGCGCTGCATCCTCCCACCCTGCACATGGTAATAGCTTGCTCTGAGTCACAGTGTGAAACATACCCTTACCTTGGTATTTATTTTACTATATTTAATTGAATGAAATGGCAGAGGGTTTTCCCACTCCAAAAAAATCAGCTGAGATAGAAAAAGAAGAAGTGCCTGAAGTTTGAAAATGTGTGGTGTAAAATTGTATAAAAGAAAGAGAGATGAACACGCTGAGCTCATTTCTTCTAGCCCATTTTTTCTTAAACTGAAGTGGATGATGACAGTCTATTATGGTTATTTTAAAGCTGGGAGAGCTAAAGAATCAGAGCATCTCTGTCCTTGCCCCAAGGTCATAAATGAAAACATTAGAGCCCCTGGATGTGGTTGCTTCACCTAAAGAAAGTAGTTTTTCAAACTCCTCCTTGTGGTTAGTGAGGGTAAGTACCATCAATTCTTGAGCTAGACATTTGGAATGGTTCTTATAAAGCCGAGTTGTAGATGATGAATACATTTCATGTTGTATAAATAAATCAACAGAGAATTCGATTGACGTTAATTCAAAATCAAGGAAAAGAATAATGTAACCATAAAAATATTTTAATGATATTGCACACAATATTGACTTTGAATGCACAAGTCAGACAATATTAATACATAATTCCATCTATAAAGTGTTGCTCAGTATCAATCAAGACCTCTTAGCTTAGTAATTTATATGAAATTTAATTTTAATAGAGTAACATTGCAATGAAAGATTTTTCCTGGGACCAAATAGCATTTGACGAAATGTAAGAAAGGAATTCTTAAAGGCTACACATGGATTATAAATATAATGTGTGAGCAGGTCACCTTAATTTGGCTGATTTGCATGTCCATGGCAGATGACGAAGTTTCCAAGGCATTGAGTTCTTTTTCTTTCTCAGTTATCCAGACGGACAGAGTCTCAAAATTACTGCCAAAATGATCCCACTTGGTTTTCACCATTTCCATGGTTTTAATACTAAAATTAACCAAATTAAGTCAATAAAATGCAGTATTTTAATAGTTAAAATAGAACAACACATTTTCCTTTAAATCACCAGGTGAAAAGATAGTGAAGACATCTGTGACCATTTCAAAGTCAAAACTATTTGAACTGAAAAAAAAAATGCACACCTGATTTGAATAGTTTGTCGGACTTCAAGTTTTCCTATCTCTGAGAATGAACATTCAATGAGGTGGCATCTATGCTATGTTATGCATGGAACTGCACTTCAAACAAAATATTGCTTGGTCCAAAGGGGGTTGAATCCGGGAATAATCTAATTAAACTCCATGTGACCAGTCGTTGCTAAGATTCATTTTAATAAACTATGACAGAAAAGATTCCAGTGTACAGTTTTTTAAAAGTCCTATTTTCATGGACTTGTTCCTCTTGCTCTTAAAGGAGAGACACTGCAGTGATGCTTTATAGTGAAAGATGTTTATAAAATGCATTTTCATGAATCTAGACAGAGCTTGTGATTTCAATCCCATGCTGCCAAGCAGGCCCTGTTTCTACCATTAGAGTTAAGTCTGAGATTTATAATCTATAGTGATTTCAGCTATTTTCATAGATGTCCCATGGCCCTGATTCCAAAAGACTTTTATAAACTTTGTGTATAGAGCACCCTAAACTACTTTTAGACATCTTAGGCTTTATTTGTTACAGATCTAATGAATAAAATGTCAACTATAGATTCCCTGTGTGTATTAGCTGTGCATATATAACCAGGTGAATATGGCTTTCAGTCTAGGAAAAAACTAAGAAACTAACAGTATATCATTCAACTGATAAGTCCTTGGGTTAAAAAAAAAGTGAAAGAATGTCCCTGTTTACCAAAAGGCACTTAAAGATGTCAAGAAAAATAAAATGGTATCATTGATTGTCAAATTTAATAGTATTGCAATCTCAAATTTATACCCCAGGTGTGCTCAATTCTCTCAGCAGTACAGGTAATGCAAGCTATGCTATACTTCAACTTTTAAAATGAAATAAAGATCCAAATGGATATTCTTAATAGAAGCAGCTTCCTTTCTAATAAACTATAAGTTTTACTATTTCCATAACTTGATGGAGAATATTTAATATAAAGTCCT